TATTAAGCTATTGCAAAATGTATATTATATATATATATAGTGCTAGATACCTGCGTAGCTTTGTAAAATTGAAACAAAACGACTCACTGTTTCTATATGCAGTTGAGAGAATTTTAACAAGACATCTCTCGTCGCCCTGGGCAAGGAATCTCCTAACAAGAAAGCACACTTCTCGTCTAAAAAAAAAAATAAATAAAAAATAATGAAGTCTTCAAAGCCTTCTTTTCCTTCGTCCTGGCGACCTTCAAACTTTATACTCATTTTTCATCTATTACGTTCTAAATTTTTTTTTTCAAAAAACCTAAAAAATCTCTTTTAACTTTTACAAAATATTTTTTCTATATATTTATTCATTAAATCGAATTTCTGATTGGTAGAGTTTCAGCGCGATTTTTAAAAGTATTCAATCACAATTTTATGGATAATTTTTGATTGGTTGATTTTAAAAATCGCGCCAAAATCATTCTGTCGATTGTTTGTTCGGACAAATGAAAATTCTATCAATTAGAAAACTTCTGATGTTAAATAATTTTATGGTTAAGTAGAAATTCTGTAGTAGTACCTAATAAAAATTCATTAAAACGGCTATTATATTCAATGAAAATTCGAGCAAATAAAAATTCTGTAAAGTGAATTTTCGGTTTATAAAAACGCTTTCATAACTTTAATTTCGACAGAATCCATTTTAAGAGGTCTTATTATATAAATATAATTTTCAAACTTAAATACCTCTATTCTATTTCTTTTTGAGGGTTGTTTTATGAAATAAAATAAATTTTTATAAAAAAAAACAAAGATAATATAGGGCAAAAGAAAAAGATACACTCTGAGGTCCATTACAAATCCGCCATGACAGGGAAACTAAGATCCACTCGGTTGAGGGTGAAAAAAAGGAGAAAGGAGGGGGTGAGAGAGAGAGAGAGAGAGAGAGAGAGAGGGGGGGAGGGATGATGGTTTCATAAGTTATTGATTGAAGGGAAGAATGGGGTTGGAACTGTTACTATGACAACGGAACCTGCGCTGTGAGAAGGGCCGTTTACCTTAATGCCCGGGAATTACGGGACGTGATTTCACCCTCTTCGTGGAGGACGCTTTAGCGATAATGTAATTTTATCTCAGCACTCCCTCAACCCCCAGGTTCCTTCCTGACCCCCGCGTTCTCCAACCACACACCAAAGTTCTCGCCCCCCCCCCCTCTACACCGTTTCTCTCTGCAAACACAGTTAATTCATTGGTTACTCTATATATATATATATATATATATATATATATATATATATATATTATACTCTCTACTCTCTGACGAACGTTAAAGAACGGAAAAGCCATTCTGAATATAATGAAACTTTTACAAATTTTCTTCATCACCTTTTTCTCCATTTCATGCTTTTATATACTTTTTAATTTTATATACATATGTCGTTTATTAATAATTCATTTTTCTAATATCTTTTTTTTTTGTCTATAATTTAATTATTACACTATTTCAGTAACCAAACTGTTTGGATGAGTAAATAAAATTATTTTGTTGAGTATTTTTTAGAACGTTTTCATATCAATTACTTCATATATATATATTAAGAAAATATTTATTTTTAATATACAAAAAACATGCCTAGCTTAAATTTAGTCTTCAATGATAATAATAATTTTGAGGTTATGGTTCATCGTCCCTTTTCAATTAGATATGCGCATGCGTAAGCACGTTAAGAACCCTATATTTTGGTTGGCGCCACTCTAATCGTTTTGTAATATCAACCGAAATATTATATTACTATTATCTTGTAGTGAAATTATAATTACATTACTTTATGTTTAAAAAAATGTAATTTTTCTAAATACTTTCTAAGAAAAAGCAGAAGTAATTTTTTTGATAGTTAAAAATATTTTTGATTTGGCTTCAAAAGATATTATTTTTTTTTGTACGATATTAAGAAAGGAAGCCATTATTACATATCAGAGAAAAAGTGAGATAGTATATAATTTGTCAATAAATGGAGAAGACATAATCGCAAGTTTAGGATCACGATTGGATATCCTCCTTGCCAATCTAGAGCGATAGTTTTGCAAATTGCCTTAACCACAAGCACGTTCGACCCCATGAAATGGGGCGCACTCAAAGTCAATCCCTTGAGGGTTGTTCGACAGTAGTTCGCATTAGCTAACTGCACCCTGATTCGTCGTCGTTTTGATCCGGAAAATGAGGTAACTTTCCGGGAATTAAAGGCCGCCAGCAGATTCTACATATGGTTTTATTTTTCATACAAGAAAAAAAACATAAAATATATAATTTTTTACAAAAGAAAAAAATATGTAACTTCTTTCCAAATACTGAATAAAAAAAAAAATTATATGCACAAATAGAATGGCGCTCAATAATACACATGAAAATGAGTAAAGGAATCATGAAATTGAAATTAAAAGCCCTTATTGTGTAATTTTATATGAAATTAGATAATTTATTCCTCATGAATGAAAATAAAAATTTGCAAATTGCGAAATTTGTATTTTCTTTCTTTCCAATGGAAATGAAAGTTTTTGACACCTCTTTTAGTCGACAAATGAATTTCCATTGTAAGAACGCTTTATATAATTGCAAAATTTTGGATGGCTCAACCCTGACTCACGCGTTGTTTAGCGTCATATCACACAAAAAATAAACGCGTGATACAAACACCAAATTACGCTCCACATTTTCATATAACATCGTAATAAACAGTTTTAGTCAACTTACTTTGTCTTTGACATATTTTTTTCTGCACTTAATTGTCTTCTTTTGAAAGAACAAAAAAGTTTGTTATTGAGCGTATAGCACTGACTCGTATAATATACGTCTTTAATGTTCGCACACTTCACTGTAACACATGTGAAAAGTTCCCTAACATTGCTAACAAGTACTTACATACAAAGACAGATGGCGCTAGTGTGATAAAACTAAATAAATGCGATGGCTCAACTCTGACCACAGTCCAACTACTCTCTCCTACATCAAGATCTTTTATTTAATTCGTTTTAAAGATTTAAAAAAAAATGTCCCAAACTTATCCCAATTGACGATAAATAAATTTTATACTATAATTTAGAAAAATATTTAAATTAGCGAATACATATCAGATTTTTCTACATATACAAATTGATTCCTCAAAGGAAATAATTTTGCAAGATATGTATTATACTTTCTCTCTTTTTTCTGGAGTTGATATACATTTTCGCGAGATGGAATCCAGGTTTCTAGTGATAGTCAGAAAAGAGTAACGGTTATCATGAAAGTATGTAAATTGTTGGATTACATAGCAGTGCAAATTGGAATTCAAGAAAACGAGATGGTTTCATCATCCGGGTGGAATATAGTCGAGCTTGCTCTACTTGAGGGGTTGAATCTGGTAAAATGGAATGAAGGAGGGAAAACTCAGGACCACCTCATCAGTTATATCTAACATACACCCACCCAACGTGTACTACAACCAAGAAAATCATCCCCAAGGACACATAATGCACACGAGCTAAACGGCAATTCTGATTGGCTACTTTCAACTTTGCCCTTTTTCCTCTACCGCAAATAAATTTTCAATCATCTATCTATTTTACAACGACAAAAAACTTGTTATTTCATCCAATTTTCTTACTTTTTCTCCAGAGAAGAATCATTTTTTTTTATGTCAACTTTAAAATTTAACATTTTTTAACATCAATTAATGCGTTTTAACGCATTTTAGTTACTTTCTTTATTTCAATTTATTACAAAAAAATGTCAAATTCTATCTAAAAATTGAGATTTATAAATATAATTTTCAATTTAACGAATCGTAATACAGAGAAAGAAATTATTAATCTTGTATATAAAAAGATTATTTTGACTTTCTGCTTGGGTCAAGATGTTGACCTTGGAGGTTGGAAAAGCTTTCAAAAAAGAACCGCCTAATTACCAGAATTAGTGACAAAATAGGCCTTGACGAAAATACATGCTATTGCATTTAAGAAAAGTCAATATGTTACGGTTCAAATTTCATTGCATTTTTTTCCACGAAAATACATTAAACTCAACTTAGACATATCGCATATGGGCGTGGTCCATCACGTTGGGTGGCTGATATCTCTAATAGTGAAAAATCAAGTTAATCTTGAAAATTAGCAGATACATGAGAAAATCTCATCTTATCTCCATCGTAAATTTAATTTTCATTTTGAATAAATAATCAAAATGAAAACATTTTCAAAAAACTTGCATCAAATATATAAATTTAAATAAAATTCTCCAAATTAACGAAAATATTAAAAAATCTGAATTATTAATTCTTATAATTTTTGTAAATCTTTGACAATAATAAAAATTTGATACAATATAAAAGAAATAAAATAACCTTAATAATTATTTGTAATGAGGATCAATTAAAATTTAATAATCGATTAACTTATAGTATATTCGTGAAAAAAAGAAGTGAATCTATTTTAAAATTACTCGCTCTTGGTTGCGCAAAGAACACGAGTTAATTATTAAAACGCCATGAACAATTATCGACTTGACGGTGCTCACAGCGCGCAAGGATAGCGTTCAATTGTCTCTCTCTCTCTCTTTCTCTCTCTTTTTTTTATTGGTCTGCGAAAATATTTGCTCGTGAATCTCTCTCCATAAAAGCGCGACGTTCGAACCTTGTATTCGAGAGATAATTTTCTTTCACACATTTATATGCGGACCAGTTTGAAATAAACTCACGTACTCAATGATTAATATTTTAACGAACTTAATAATATATATTAACTTCTGCATTGGAATGAGATATTCAACATCTAAGCATTTTTCTATATTCCAAATAATTTTTTGCAATTTCAAATTTTCAATATATTTCTCAATCAATAACTATATATATATTATAATTTTATATTAATCTTGATTTATTATTATAACCCAGATATTTGTTGTTTTTTAAAAATAATATTTAAAATATAGATATTCATATTTTGAAACAAATTATTTTCTAATTGGAACCTTTTTGGAAAAGCTGGAGTGGGATTACAAATAGCGACAGCGATACGAAGATTTCACTACGTAGCGATTCCAAGCTACATTCACTTTAAAAAATTTTCTTGCTATCGGGTGACTAAAAAAAGGTATCATCTTGATAGATTTAGGTTGGTACAATTGTTTTTCTGTGTATTTTTTCTCATATTTGCTTTATTTTATAATTTAACAATTTTTTTTTAGAATCAAGAATGTATCAAATTCATAAGGATTTCCCACGATGAAGAAATGAAGCAATTAAAAGAAATATCTAAAAGCCTGACAAATTTTTCAAGTGTAACACTTCAAATCTCAAAAGTTATGAAAAAGGCATTTTGAGGCAACGATAATTATTAATATTATTATATTAACACTTTTATTTCCTAATTTTAACCTTAAATTTTTTTATAATTAATAATTATAAACTAAATAAAACATAATAATAATAAAGAAATAAAGAAAACATTTATTTTAAATTTCTATCCTTACAAAAAATCAAGAAAATAATTCAACTTTATCCAATAATAATAAACTATTTACTTTTCTTTTTTATATTAATAATTAAATATATTTATTATCTTTTTCATAGGATTAAAAGTTTCTTTTAGACATTGTCTAAAATGGGGAAAAAAATTTAATTTAAAAAATTTTGAAGATATAATCTCGGAAATAGAATTTTTGTTCTTACGCAAGGTTTCACTAAAAAAATATATAGGGCATTTTTTGTGAGTTAAAGAGTTTTTCAAGAAATGAAAATTTAAATCAATTTAATTAAAAAAATTTATCAATTTTTAAATTTAGGCTGGTAAAGAATATCCTAATTTTAAATCTCATGCAATTATTACTAATTCTTGCAGTAAGGTTAATTTTCTTAATTTTTATTTATTAAATTAAATTAAAGAATTTATTTCTTTTATAAATTATTTTAACATTAAATTAGATGATTTATTTTTAAAGTTGTTATTTATTAAATTAATAGGTTATTTGCAATATTAAAGTATAATTTATTTCGTCACTAGTTAATTATTTTATTTGAAACTAACAGTTGGCAAACATGAAGTTAGAGAATTGATTCCACCTTCATGTTGTATTTATTTGCTACGTAGATAAAATATTTTAGGAAATTGACATGAATTCTATGTCAATGGCCTTATCTAAAGGGGTTATGTTTGTATTTTCTTCTAAATTACCATTTAGCTGTTTAAGCTTTGAAGAATCTAAAAGCTTTTGACCAACACAGTTTTGCTCATGATAAAACGATAGAATTGCAGAATACAAATAAGTAGCAGCATTATTCTAAATTAAATAGGCTTATCAAGTTAATAATATGTAATTAAGTATTTTTCAGGTAAAAATGTAATTAAATTTAATTCATCTCTGATGATTGAAGCGATTCTTGATTTGTAACATTGAATAATGAATCACTAGTCTGGCTAAAACCAACTTGAACAAAACGTTTTCTTTTTCTATAGTAGAGGACACAGAATGCTTTTTATTTTCTGACATCTTATTACGAAACAGTTCTTTTAAAAATATCAGTAAACAAAATCAATACTAGAAAAAATTCGAATTCTATTCACTGTCAACGCTGTCAACAGTCATATTAGGTTGGAATCCAATGTATATTTCAGGGTTGCGTAGCATTAATAAATTCAGAAGTTAAAGTCAGGGTACGGACACAATTTACATCGGTTGGTTTCCATTTTCTCCACTCGCCAAAGTCCCAACTTCTCTTAACTACCGCATCCTGCTCTAGTGAAAATTTAGTGACTTTATTGTTAAAATTAAAAGGTATTGGGTTTGGCGGTCTAGTGACTTTTACCTACTTCGTCAGATATTTTGGTTTTTATTTCTCTTTCTATCTTGTTAATTAAAAAAAGACGAAAAAGGAAAATGGTTCTCCGAAATAGGTCCAGAACCAGATGGCGTATTGAAGTTTAGCCAATTCCAATCTAAAAGTTCAATTTAATATAATCGTATCTCAAAAAAATTTTTCCTTTGTAGGTCACGCGGGAGATTTCCACATGCCGTTAATTCAAATATTTTTTTAATATTTCAATAAAAAATTTCAATATTCAATAACAAGAAGAATTAAAATCAACTAGAACCTATTTAATTTATTTAATTTAAAAAATTTAGTGTTTTTAAATGAAAATGAACTGTTTTATTATTTATAAATTTATAATATAATTGTAAAATCAAATTATGAAAATAATATAAAATACAAATAAATGACAAGTGTCAAAATAATATTTTAACTTGCCCGCAATACATAATATAAGCGCCATGGGGTAAAAGACAAGAAAATGCCCTCAACGTAAAAGTCACATGACACATTTTACATTTTATAGTATCCATATGTGAAAGTGCAGCTCTGATAACTGATGGTACAGCCTGCATCGATTTCTTCAAGACAAGAGCCGACAGTTGCCAGAAAAGTCGTAAAATCGAGATTGCCTGCGCGTTTTACGACTTTTCTATCGCGTTTTCGGGATTATTTGAGAAAATGGAATCCTTTGCGAGACTGGTCGGTACCACACTTGTCAAGATAAAATAGTCAAGAGGAAAAGGGAAAAAGTAAAACGATTTGTGTGTGTGTGTGTATGTGGCTGTGAAGAAATAGAGGGTAAAACTTTGAGCCATCAAGGAAAAGGTGTGTATCTAAAATGGTAAACCATCTGGAAAACCATAAAATCGAAAAATGTTACAAATGTAATCGTTTGTGTGCAGGAGGGTAGAAAGGGGAGTGAGTGGAGGGCGTGAAATAAGATATCGAGAAAATAAGCAAAAATGAAAGGGATGAAAGTAAATAAAAAAAAAATCCCCAAAAAATTGGTGGAAGCTTAACAAAATTTCTCCCAAGCACATTCGTCAACTATTTTATTGCATTTCCTCCTCCTCCTCATCATGCTCATTCGTCAGAGAAAATAATGGTAAAGGCCAGGGTTGTAAAAAAAAGTAGACTGCGGTTTACATGAAAAGAACTTAACCTACTTTGTTGTAAACGTGGGATAGTTTGTCACATGTACATATAATATATATAAGTGTCACACTTGAAGAAAAGTATACGAGGGCGGAAATGGATCTCGAGGTCAATTTTCAAAACTAAATGACGTGAAAAATTAAACAGTTGAGCCAAAAGACGAATGTAATTTCAAGGTTATAGCCACGATTTTTTTATGACTTTGTAATTATCCACGTACTATAAATTACATTTTATATCTTATATTTTTGTGTAATATGTATTTCTTCTATTTTTCAAAAAGAAATTTCCCATTTTGAAAGTATTTTATTTGTATGTCCTATACTCTGTATTTGATCTATAATTCTGATTTAACCAATTCTTTATTTGATCTAATTCTCATTTTGGCCCAAAACATCCTTCAATTATCAAAATCGCATATTTAAGTATTCTGCGCAGAGGTAAATTTAACTTACCAGTTTATCCAGCTTAATTTATCAATTCCCTACTTTACCCTTCGCGATAAAAAACAGCTTCTATATGTAACCTAACCTCCATTTGATATAATTCTTACTTGGTCTAATATATAATCCAATTATTTATTGACCAAATCTTTATCTAGCCTCTGATTCTTATTTGGCCTAATCTTCATTTCACACTTGGATCGTAAAATATGAGATAGAAAAGAACACAAATATTTGTCTGTCATTTTCTCTATCTCATGATTAGTGTTTATCAATTTTACTGGATAACTGGATTGAATAAAAATTTGGTCAAATGGATATATTAGGATACACAAGAATTCATAACACGCAAGATACATAAAAATTCGGTTAAATGAAGATTAAACCAGATAAATATTTTACCAAATAAGAAATAGAATTAAGGATAGGACAAATAAGAAATCGAGATAGATAAAGATTTGGCTAAATAAGAATTATGTTATGTTATTTGATATTAAAATATGTAAAGAATATGTCAAATAAGAATTAGATTACAAAAAAATTATATATATAGGTACAATGCGAGGAGTTATATAAAATGAAAATTAGATTTAATAAACGTTAGGGTCAAATAATTATTTGGTCTAAGAAAATAATTTATTTGCTTTTAATCAAATAACGAATTAGTATATATTTGAATTGAATAATTTTTTTCAACATGAAAATGAAATAGAAGGAATAAGAATAAATTTAATGGATTTTTTTTCCAAGGATTTAAATGTCAATTGGCATTAATAGTGCGGTATGCAAGCGATTTAAGAATAACTGCAATTCAATTGAATTGTGAATCAGAGCAGGCATCGCGTAAATTCATTAATAAATTCCGTAAACCAATTAAAATTCTGTCGGATTCCATGGCGGGCGTGGGGCCAATAAATCAGTATACAAACCGTAACCCGCGAACCACTGCGTGTCTCAGATGATCATAATCATACTCACTTGAAGGCGCAACCCTTTTTTTTCATTTCTTTTATTATCTTTCATCTTTCCTTTCATTTCATATTTTCTTTCTTCATTAACAATAACATGATCCTCGCGAAATTGAACCTAATTCGCGAGTTCTTTTATAATTTAATTAAACCCCCATTCTTATTTTATGCAGCAATTAATTATCAAAAATAGAAAACTTTCGTACAACATAAAAAAACAATAATTTTATTGTTTTTAATAACAATAAATTAAAAATGGGTTACAATGTAATGAAAATCAGTTATATAGAAAAACTCTGGTATGGAAAAATATAAATCAAATAGAAATTGAAAAAGAGTTTATAATTTATTTTTCTAGGTCATAGAATTAAAGAAAGTGAATTTTGAAAAATCATATAAAATAGCCGCGAGTAATTAAAGAAGAATTCCAGTGAACAAAAGTATAGGTAAAAGGGAAATAAGAATTAAACTTGCGCGAACAAGAATCTCGTTTCTCGTTAAGTTAACAAACAAATAAAAAGCAATCTACTATATATAGGCAGGAGATTTTATTTTCTGAATGCAATTTAAAAGAGATATACATATACAGGATATTATCGTGTATATGGTCACGATCCATGTATACATAATGGCGTCAATGAAAGGCGGTATATTAACAAGTTTAGTACGTTCAATACAATATTCCAAAAGACGATTTGAAATGTGCCCGCAAAAAAAGCCTGAGATGTTTAAATCTTAAGTTACAAATTAGCCTGGAATCTTACAAGTATTAAAATTAATGGACATGGTAAATTGATAGCCCCAAGGAATTCAAATGATTGAGACGTTTTTAGAAAAAGAATATAGAAATCCTTATACTCGAGCAATATAATTTCGACCAT